TCCTCCCAGACTGAGCCAAGCATCCCTGCATAAGCCCCAGGTTTCAAACAGCCAACTCATGCACTGAGCACAGGACCTGGTCCCACTGCCTGGATGCCTCCCAAACAGATTAAGCTAATCAACTGTCTCACCCATTCAAGGGCCTGATCCAGTTGGGGCCTCCTCAGCTATTGGTTCATAGTTCATGTGTTTCCATTCGTTTGGTTATTTGTCCCTGTGCTTTATCCAACCTTGGTCTCAACAACTCTCGCTCATATAAATCCTCCTCTTTCTTGCCAATTGGACTCCAGGAGTTCCACCTGGGGCCTGGCCGTGAATCTCTGCATCCGATTCCCTCAGTCATTGGATGGGGTTTCTAGCACAACAATTAGGGTGTTTGGCCCCTTTGGCGTCTTTCTGTGCGCTGTCTGGCTTGTGGATTGGCATCGCATGGTTCACCCGTTAGTACCAATTTGTCCAGCTACTGACACAGCACATGGGTATAAATGGGGACGGTGTACTGTCCTCAGTGGCTCCTCAGTAAGCATCTGTTACAGAGCCGGACAGTGCACGGGACACACAGGTCCCTGGAGAACTTTTTCTCAGAAAAGCAACAGAGAAGTGGGTGGACAACGGTAAAGAAGGGAGTGGAGCTGAAAAGCATTTCTTTTTCCCTCTTAAAATGGAGCTTTTTTAGGAGATATTTGCATGAGGGTGGAAATGATCCAGTGGAGCGGGCAGTGAATGCAACTGAAATAGTTGGATGACAAAGTATTTGAAATCTTGATACATTATATCAGGCTAATAGTAAACTGTAATTTGAGCTTGTATAAATGTGAACACATGTGCGTGTGCGTGTGCGTGTGTGTGTGTGTGTGTGTGTGTGTGCGCGCGCATGCGCGCGCACAGAGAGAGAGAAAGAGAGAGAGAGAGAGAGAGAGAGAGATTGTTTTTGTGAAAATGGATCAGAAATGGAATGCTACTCTATTTGCCAAATGGAATGACGACATAAAACTAAGCTGTGGGCTGTAGAGACGGCTCAGTGGTTAAGAGACTGCTCATGTAAGGAACCCAAGTGTGGGTCCCAGAACCCACACAGGCAGCTTACAACAACTCCAGTTCCAGGGTGTCGGGTGCCCTCCTTTGAACTCATCGGACACCTGCACTCAGGTGCACATACTCCACGTAGACATGCACACACATGTGCGCGCGCGCACACACACACACACACTATATATATATATATATATATATATATATATATATATATATATATAATTTAAATTTTAATTTAATTTAAAAATCAGATGTTAAAAATAAGGCTGTAAAGTTATAAAACAACTGTAAAATAACTTTTATAAAACAACAGAGTATTAAGACACTCAAGGCATACTACGAACCTAATCATCTCCTATGTGTTTTAAGGATCATGGTGAGTAGCCATGGTTTTGTAGGCCACCCTTGAATGTGAGGTTTTTTGATTTAGAGGTTGTTGTATGCATTCTGGAGATGACGGAGATTTTCCTCATGTGCAGTAGCTAAGTAAACTGTTAACAGTGTGTCAAAGATTATTGTTGAATAATAAAGTCACAACATACGGAACTGTCTTCCTGCTTACAACAGTTCCAACAGTGCTGTTGCTGCGCATTGAGCGCTGAGCAGGTGTCTAAGGGGTGATGAGCAGTTAGTTCAACTGATAAAGACACATGTTGAAGAATTTTTTTAATGTAACTTAATTTCACTGAAAGTAGAATGGCAGGTTTGCCCCCTCCCCCTTTTCCTAGATTCTGTTCGTTTATCTGTGTTCTTCAAGCTTTGATGACAGTACTGAACCTAGGGCCTCATGCCCGCCAAGCACGCACTCTGCACTGAGCGCCATCCCAGGTTTCTGTCACTTTTTTTAAAAGCCATCAAACAGCCTGTCTGGGCCTCCCAGGCTGACCTGGAAATCACGCTGCCGTGTGCAGCTGAGCTTACAAGCCTATGACCCCATGCAGAGTCCAACCTTTTCTGTAAACTGCGAGATTCTGAAGCTACTGTTTGTATATGTCCACAAAGGACATGCAAACACGGATTCATTTGCTGCTCTATCACTTCACAGTGCATGTTGCTTTCACAGCGTGTTGTGGCATGTGCTGTTTATGATTTAAACGATATCATCCAACCCCAGCCGTTCTGAGGTTCAGTTCTGAACCGGTCGGCTCCCTGTGTGCACTCACACGGTGGCTTGCCCTTCCCTTGTCCCCCTCCTTCCTTTACAGGCTATCTAGTACATTACCACACCGACTGTGAGGGAAAGAACAGCCGTGACACACAGAGTGCTTAGAGTACCGTGCACCGACTGCACAGAGAGCGCTAACCCCCGTTACAGGAGCCACTGCCTGGGGAATGGTACCGCCCACCATGGGCTGAGTTTCCCCACACTATTCAATGTACAATCAAGACAGTCCACTGTGGACATGACCTCAGGCCAGCCTGACTTGGAAATCCCCCACCGAGATTCTCTTCTCAGGTGACTCCTGGTTATGTCAAGTTGACAATTAGAACTATCACACGTTCTATTATTCTTTGTCCCTTAAGTTCTGTTTATAGTTGAATCTGCTTTATAGGAAAGGATTGTACTTTAAATCAAATATAATTGTTATGGACATGTGAAGTAAATTACTGCAGAGATAGTTATTTTTTAAAAAAAAAAAAAGACAGTGTTTGTGTTTTATATGTTTAACGTTTGCCTAAAAAGATTTTAATTTTTTTTAAGGCTGACAAAGAGACAAGCTGAAGAAAAGCACAAGGTACTGTAAGTGAATAATCCGAAGCATAGTTTGATTGGTTGTAGGAGTAAAGCAGACCCCGGGGACCTGGGCTGCAGGCTGAGTGACATCCCACTGCGGGGAGCTACAGCTGTCACGGCTGCCATCGGCATCACCATAACCCTGAGCACCGAGGATGCGAACCTCAGCCTCCCAGTGCCCATCCCCGGTGCTGCCCACCCCAAGCCTGCACCGTGGGTATCTGGTAGGGAGTCAGGTCTGTGAGTCCTCACGAGGGCAGTGTCTGTCTTACAGACATAGTCATGTCAAGGAAGGTTTGGAAACAACACCGGGTTTTATTATGTGAAAATAGGAGTTTCAGCCAGAGGAACAGGACAACGCTTCTGTGTGCCAGGCTGCCAAAAAGAGTGACCCAGGAAGCCACTCCTCCCTGACGGTGATGGAGACTGATGCTGAGGAAGGAAGAGGGATGGAAGATGCAGATTTCCAGGTCCTGGTGGTTTCAGTTCAAGGCAGTAAATGCATAGCAGATCTTACCCATTGTAGAGACTGTCCATGGCCCAGGATCCTTCACACAATTCCCCTGCAACATTAGTAGAATCATGAGCTTGCAGGCAGGAGAATGAGGAGTTGGAGAATGTTCCTGCAGTTGGCTGAATGAGGCTGTAAAGGCCCAAAGTCAGGCAAAGGTTTATAGTGTCTACATCTGGTGACCCTGTGGACATCCACTATAGCATCCCAGTGTCTGTGTCTGGTGATTGTATAGACGTCCACTACAGCATCCCAGTGTCTGTGTCTGGTGACCCTATGACATCCACTACAGCATCCCAGCCCCCTATGCAGGTATGAGCGATAGAGGGGTGCTGTGAGCCAGGGTACAGAGGAACAAGCTAAACAGGAAGACCAAGTGTGTACCTGGGCTGTAGGCCATGATTCTGCAGGAGCTTCCTCCTTGCCTGAGACAAAGAAGAAGGCAGTGGAGAGGATGAGGAGAGTCAAGTGAGACCCTGAGTTGATAGCCACCCCAAAGCCCATCCTGTTGAAACTTTAGTTACCAACACAGATGCCCAGAGACCCCCAAACCAGGGATGACGCAGAGTAAAAAGCCCGCTCACCGGCTCTGCAGGCTCGGCTGGCAGGCTAGGTAAAGGCAGTCTCACCCTCTGCGAACGTCCTCTCTCAGTCAAGATGAACTGAGATCCCAGCAGCAACAAAGGAAAACAGACATGGAGCCACCAGTGCTGGCCTTCTCCTGTTGGCCAGCTAACTAGAGACAACTGCTTTCTCTGTATGCTGTGAGATTTGATTATTTATACTCAATCCTGACTTACAATAAATATTTAAGTTGATTTTTTTGTTTTTTTGTTTTTCAAAACAGGGTTTCTCTGTGTATTTTTGGTGCCTGTCCTGGATCTTGCTCTGTAGACCAGGCTGCCCTTGAACTCACAGAGATCTGCCTTACTCTGCCTCCCGAGTGCTGGGATTAAAGGCGTGCACCACCACCACCACCACCCGGTGTTAAGCTGACTTTTTAAAAAAGAATTATTTATGTACACAGTGTTCTGCCTGCATGTCTGCCTGCAGGCCAGAAGAGGGCACCAGATCTCCTTACAGATGGTTGTGAGCCACCATGTGGTTGCTAGGAATTGAACTCAGGACCTCTGGAAGAGCAGCTGGTGCTCTTAACCTCTGAGCCATCTCTCCAGCCCTTAAGCTGACTTTTTAAGTAGGTGCCTGGTGCTGGTGAGGGGGCTCAGGGAGCAAGCGTGCTTGCTACAAAAGGCCAGGGGGCCAAACTGGATCCCAGGCACCCGAGCAAAGGGGAAAGGGAAGAAGAACACACTCCACATGCACCGTGTGGCGGCTTTATTATTACATACAGGAATAAATATTTAATTTAAAATAACTGCAAACAACTATTAATATTAGTCTTAGTTATAAGTAAATAAGCATCGAAAACTTCCTTTTATTAAGATATGTTATCCAAGACAATATGATGTTGTATCAACTGAAATATATTATGGAGGTAAAGTAAAAAGACTTTTGTAAAGGAGTATGTTTTGAAAAAGAAATTAAGAAGTGGGAGACATAAGGGCTAGGTGTGGTAGCACACACCTTCAATCCCAGAGACAGATCTCTGTGAGTTCATGGCCAGTTTGGTCTCATAGAAAATTCTAGGCCATAATAAAATTCTGTCTCAAAATTAATTAATTATTAATAAACAGGAGCCGTTAATTGGGGCTCCCTTTGACAAACTCAGTCTTATCTAGAATTACATTTCTACTTAGGTGTTTTATTAAAGTCTAAAAACCACTACTTCTGTGCGCTTACCTTCTATGTAAATTTGAGAGACATTTTGAAATAGTGCTGTTTTACAGATGGAAACCCAAGTGCATCAAGTCAACGAAATGGAAGAAGCCAACAGCCGAAGCCAGCCTTCTGAGACAGCCTCAGGCAATGGTGAGTGGCCCCGTCCCTGCTGTGAGTCCGTCTGCAGCCGAGTGAGCACCCTGAAGGGCGTGAACAGGAGGCCTCTGCTGCATCTGGGTCCCTTCGTCCATCCCTCAGGCCTGACTCACAGAGTGCTGAAGTGCTCAGGTCCTGGGCCCACAGGAGATGCCCTCTGTACCATGCTAGACAGAGAACCACTTCAACTCCCAGCCAGAGGGCTCTGGGGACTCCCGCTGCACCCCACATGAGAGGCATTCACAGCCGGTTCTTTTTGCTGTAGTAACCTTAGAACTCCACCTCCTCAAACCTCGATCACTTCTGTCCCCGGAACCATCTATTTTGAAAGTCCAGACCCTGTCCTGTTCCTCTGCCCTCCAGATCCCCGCTGTCACTTCTCACTGCCGGAGCTCGCTCTTCCTGGCTGCTCTAGTTTCCCGTGGGTCTCTTTTCAGCCCGACACCCCTTAGACATTTGTCACCCTAACAGAATCATGTGTTTCAGTAACTCTGCTGAGGCCTTCTTGACCAAAATAAATTACATGTATGCAAAGTGTGCCATCATGTGTTAGGTGTCTAAATGTTTTAACACATACTTCACCACCATTGTCAACGTGGGTAACAATAAATCTTCCTCCACAGTTGTTTCATCTTGTATTCCCATTAAGAAGCTACCAATTCATCTTGAAAAGTACTTGAATCATTTTCCACTCCCATTACCAATATTTAGACTCAGAGTGTCCAGTTCCTCTGTGTTTGCACATAGTATTATCATGGGCCTTTTTCATTTCCACCATTCTAGTAAGTGCCTAGTGTATAGATCAGTGTTGTTTTTTTAAACAGTATTTTCAGTACTTCTTTGATGATTTCATATGATGTATTTTGGTCGTATTACCCTCCCTTCCCCACGCTCCTCTCCACTCCCCCAGCCTTGAGTTCTGTCCCCTCTACTCCATGCAGTCCAGTGTGTTGCCAGTTAGTCTTGGGGATGGGACCTGCCCCGGCATGTGTATGACCGACCAGGGGTCCTTCTCCCTCCACCAGTATCAAATGCCAATGGCTCCTGAGCCGGTCGTGGGATTTTATGCCCACCTCCCCATCTAATGCTCGGATTTTTTTCTGTTTGAGCTCGTGCATGTCTTTTGCATACCATAACAGCTACTGTGACTTCCTATTGTAACCCGCCCTGCTGTGCCTTGGTGTGATCACAATCTCTGCCTCTTAGAATTTTCCAGCCCCTCTTTCTCGAAGATCCCTGGGCCTTAGGGAGGGGTGGGATTTGTATGTCGCATCTGGGACTGAGCACTCCACAGTCTCTTCTCTACACATTGACTCTTCGAGAATCTGTATTAATCGCCATCTACAGCAAGGAGGAGCTTCTCTGATGAGGTTGAGAGATGTTCTGATTTATGTGTATAGAGCAAGTCATTAGGGGTCATTTTAGTGCTGCGTCCATTTAGCAGAACAACAGCTCTAGATTCTTCTCTAGGGCCTCTGACCTATCTAGCCACAGATTCTTGGCCACTTTAACAGTGCTAGGTATGAATTCCATCTCATGGCGCAGACCTCAGAACCAATCAGAAAGTGGTTGGCTAATCCCGTGACATTAATGCCACTATTTCTCCAGTGGGCTTATCTTGTCAGGCCAGTCATTGCAGTTTTCAGGGGTCCCAGCTGGGGGAAACTGATGAGTACTTCTCTCCTCCAGTCGCATGCATAGCGCCCTCCAGTGCCATGCAAGCTAGCCAGTAGGGATGTGGCCTCCAGGTGAGTACCGGCTTGAGTTTCCATGTTCTGGCACTGAGGTTTGTGTTGTCTTCAGCAAGAGAGTCTTACTGACAAGCTCTGGAGGGTCACCAAGAGTATTGGCAAGAGTGTCATGTGACCCCATTGGCCAACAACTCAAAAAGAGGTAACCTGTTCCGGATACGGGCATCTTTATGCCAGCATGGGGTGTCTAGCTGGGTTCAGTCCCCCCATTCAGTGTTATTTGTCAAGTCAGTGTTAACCTTCTTCCCTGTGTCTGTTCTCTGTTGACTGGTGTGTGTGTGTGTGTGGTTCTGGGGACTGGACCTAGGCCCTTGTGCATGCTAAGCACATGCTGCACCGCTGAGCTGTCTCCAACTCTCGGGCTACTTTTTTCCTTTGAAAGAGTCTTGGTAAATTCCTCAACTGGCCTTGAACTCACGATGTGGCTCAGGTACTAAGTGGCCTTTGATACTCCTGCCTCAACCTCCTAGGTAGCTGGGATTTCAGACCTGTGCCACTGGGTGTTCTAGGTTCCCTTTGTCCCTTTGAAAACCCTGGCAAATGAAAGCAACCTGGGTTTAATTCAGCTCAGACTTCCAGATCACAAGGGGGAAGTCGAGGCAGGTACCTGGAGTCAGGAGACACGGGAGAACAATGCTGCTGACTCACCAGCTGACTCGTAGTTTCACACTCAGCTAGCTTCTCTTGCACAGCTAGCACAACCCACAGCAGGCTATGCCTTCCTGCGCCAATTAGCAACCAAGACCATGCCCCACAGAATGCCCACGGGCCAATCTGACTGCTTAGTTGAGGTTCCCTCTTCCCTGGTTATATGAAGTTGACTGTAGAAACTAACCACACGCTAGGCCTGAATTCTATATCTTCATTAATAAACTGTCTTTTTTGATACTTTTGTCAATATGTATTAAATTTTAATCATTAAACTCCAATTTGATTTCTTTATCCTCAAGGAATACAATTCTTGTTGCTGAAATTGTTTTGACTTAATAATCCTGTGCAGGTTTACTTCGGATCTTAGCATGTGTATTGATGACGAAGCATGCTTACGCTGCCCACTGTCCCACTGATTGTTGGCCCCATCCCTTACTGAGTAGGTGGGTTTGGAATTTCAGATGATGTCTGTGAATTTCTTCGGGCACTGTGGCCAAATTTTGTGTCTTGTATTTGTAAAGTGTCACTGGGTGCACAAACTGGGCAGGATGCAACCTCCTGTTGTGTCCTCCCCGTCCATGATGGAACGTTGACTGTCTTGGTCCTCTTCAGGTCTTAGGAAGATAGCCAGGGGCGCTGTCAGTTCATGAGTGCAGTGGCCCTGTGTTACGTTGCATTTTTAACCTGTATTTTATGTGTCTGTGTGTTGGCCTGAATGTATGCATGTTCACCATGTGTGTGCAGTGCCAGCAGAGGTCAAAAGAGGGCATCAGATCCCCTGAGACTGGAGTTACAGGTGGTTGTGAGGCACCATGTCTGTGCTGGGAGTCCAATTGAGGTCTTCTGCAAGATCAGCCAGTAGTCTGAACCTCTGACCATCTCTCTAGCCCTTAGGTGGTTGATGTCTCTTGTTGTTGCTTGTTGGTTGTTGTTGTTGTTGCAGGGTGTAGTTGTAGCTTGCTTTTTATTTAGCCTGATAATCTGTCCTTCACCTGAAGTTTTCAATCATGTTCATTCTACATAAGTACTCAGAGTCTATTGACTCTTCAATAACATTTTATTGGACATAAGAGTGACAACCCCTGACGATCTAAAATTTACAAGCGTCTTTTGACTTCTGAAATAGAACTCCTGCAGCAACCTAACAATTGCCTCCTCCTTTTCCTGCTAGACGCCCATGTGAGGGCATCTGCTTAACCACACAGTGCTCATGTCCTTTTTACATTTGAATTGCAGCCACCAATATATCTGAAAGTCAAACTGCCCTCCTAGAGATGGCAGGCATCCACATTGTGGTTAAGAAGCAGTGTGCTTGTAGAATGTGGCTTTTATTTTTTTTAACCTTAGTTTATATTTGTCTTGGCTTCAGGTCATACCACTTAGGGACAGAAGTATGTTCATAACTCTGATAAACTGCTTCTTATGGCCTCCTGTGTTTTCTTTTATTAACAGATTATAAAATAGACTAATTTGTATGTATGTTTTATATATTCATGACAAACATCTTATGGGTTTTTTTTCAACATTCCTACAATATGTGGTTCTGTGAACTTTTCAGATTATGTGAAAGCCCAATACAATTCAAAAAACACAATGTATACATGGACTGACACTGTTCCAATATGCCTTGTTTGAGGGTAAGCTGTAGTTAAATTTGTCCACCATTGTGCTGTTTAGTTCATATTGATTTGGATTTGTTTGAGCAATCATTAAATTTTTAAAAAGGTAGTTCCCATGAGTCTACCTCTTTGAATTTCAATATGGGATACATTTAAGTCACATTAAACACGTCGACACTTCCTTCTGCTCTTACGACAGCCTCCAGTCCCCCCTGACGCCCAGGGTTGGGCAGGACCTTTCTGGAAGACTATTGGGACTTTTGCATTATGATATGGCCATGAGCCTGTGGGGCCCAGGGAATGGAATGTGGTAGTGTGGATGAGAATGGTCCCCACAGGCTCATATATTGGAATAGTTGCTTTGCCCCCAGTTGGTGGAACTGTTTGGGAAGGACTAGGAGGTGTGGCCTTGTTGGAGGAGGTGTGTCACTACTCCATTCCCTCCGGCGTTCTGTCCAGTGGTCTTTGCAAGTTGCATTTTACCAAATTCACCTTCCTCGCCATAGAGAGTCCAGAAGGCTTTGAAGTTTAGAAAGCCTCGTGCTGTGCTGTTCCAAGGGTGTCTCTTTTGTTCTGCCTCTTGGTTATGTTTCAAGATGTGAGTCCTCAGATACTGCTCCAGCACAATGCTGGTCTGCCTTCTGCTGTGCTCACAGACATGATGGTCAGTAGACTCTCATTCTCTGAAAGTAAGCCCCTAATTAAAGTTTTATAAGCTGCCTTGAGCATGGCGTTTTATCACAGCAATAGAGAAATAACTAAGATTGATATATTTAAGATACATTAAGCATCTTGCCCCTTCCCAGTCCTGTTCAGACAGCCTCCAGTTCTCCGCAGTGTTAGGCAGAACCTCTCTACTAACCCATTGTACCCTGACTTTAGGAGTTTATCCAGCGGCCTGCTGGGAATGAACATGCCTCCTGGCATTCTGTGAGCACTGCAGTTCCCTGGAAGCCCCCCAGGTCTTTCCATT